TAAATGGAGGCGCTTTTGTGTGGAACCTAGCAAACCTGATCCATGAGATATTCGAGTGCTGAAAGGCCCTACATAAAAGCACTGTTATGAACACCTTTATCATTGTTGTGGATCAGCGCTGTTGTTTTTATTCAGCTCATATTTACAGTGAAAGCAGTGGGTTGGTGTTTGTACGCCATTAAAGCCATTCAGACAGCGTTTGCTCAGCGATAGGGTCAACTTTCCTCCATTTATGACTGGGTTTATTTTCATTAGTTCACCATTGTGGAGAACACTTTATGAACATGTTCTGCTGATCTGAACTGATTGTGCGCTAATAATACTTCACATATTAAATGTTTAACTTTGTACAAATATATTAATTAAACGAGGTATATTTTGTGTACTTTTTGGTGTTTCTTAATATGCTTAAGTGTATTTTTAATAAATATAATTTTAATTTGATACTTTTAGGTTTCTACTTTGTAATTAAAGGTGCAGTAGGTGATCTGCCAAAATGCTAACCGCTTAGCACAGGGGTGTACATACAGATAGGGATGTGGGCCTGTATATATATATATATATATATATGTATATATATATATATATATATATATATATATATATATATATATATATATATATATATATATATATATATATATATATATATATATATATATATATATATATATATATATATATATATATATATATATATATATATATATATATATATATATATATATATATATATATATATATATATATATATATATAAATTGAAATCAATTTGACTTATGTAAAGCATGTTTAAAAAAGAATGTTAATGCAAGTGAAAACTGTGTCGGACCACTACTATCTATAAATGTACAATATACACACACAAATTCAATAACTTATGGATAACACGCTTCCAGGTGAAAGTGGCGATCCTTTAAAAGACCTGATTAATCCGAGTTTTTCAGTAGTGTCTTTAATGCTGACGAGAGTAGCAGGCGTTTCAGCGAGGAGCGTCTTTAACACTGCTCAAACCCAATCCAGGTAACACTGTGAACATCAGCAGCCAGCCGGCCGGCGCGGGGCTTCAGTGTGTGAGCAGCTTGAGTCGGGCGATCCAGCTGCTGAAGACCGAAGGTTCAGACGGGGGTCTCTTAGAGGATTTGGAGGCAGGTTTGCGAGCGACTGCCTCCTGGTAGGGGATGGTGGCGCTGTTGTGCAGGTCAGCATTGATGAAGCACTGGCTGCCTCGGATGTGGTCCACCCCTCGCACCAGCTGCCGCTCTCCTGCTGGCCGATAGGGGAGGGGGTAACAGGGGGACTCCTCCGAGATGGTGGGGATCTGCTCGTTGCTCAGATACCTGTGCAACAGCTCATCACCTGAAGGTAGACAAGAGACAACTTATGAAACGCTTTCAATGAGCGATGTTTCACCATGACTGAAACCTTTTAAAGACATTCTCTGAGCTTTTCGAAGAGTCAGCTCAAATCTGACCATTTGATGCTCAAACGATTCATATTCCTTTCAAAGTTGGCCATTGCTTTAGCTTTCTTGATTGTATTTATTTATTTATTTGTTTGTTTATTTATTGTTAATCCAATGAAAAAGTAAATATCTTCAGCGTACTTCTCCTTACACTATTTGACAACCAACAATGTATAACTGTGGACATATTTTATATTAAAGAGCCCATATTATGGGTTTTTGAAAATTCCCCTCCATGTAGTGTGTAACACAGCTCTAAGTGAAGTGGAGTATCCAGCTAAAGCTTAAATCTGTAAGAGTACAGTGTTTAAAACAGTTGATTCATCTATAAAAGAGTCGACTCATAGTGCTTCAAACGAGTCGCCTTGATAACGAGTCATTAGGTGTTTCGCCATGACGTACGAATGAAACCAAGTTATTCACGTGCACGCGCAAACCGGGAGATTTCAAACCTGAGGCCCAGCCCTCTGACATAGAAACCCAGACACACCCACAAACACACACACACAAACATGCCGGTCGATTGAAGTCACACTGCAGATGGATATTATCGAGTCTCTACCCAAAGATGAAACCTCAGCATTATAACCAAGCAGTTGGAAACTACTGCAAACTACATGCTACAAAGAATACTTCATCGGCGTTTGTTAAAGGAAGGATCAGTAAAGAGTAACTTACTGATGGACGTCAGGATGGATTTTTCTTCCTCCATTTCTCAAGTGTAAATACGTGCGATTAAAGTTGTTGCCTCGTTTACTCTAGCTTGCAAATGTATTTAGTTGTGATTTGTTACTTGTAACCGCGTGTACTGTATCAGGTTAACTCGCTATATTCTCATATCGAGTGCAAAGCCACGTTAAAAACGCGACGCGTGCTGCTTTGTTTACGGAGCTCCGTGGACGAGGGTAGTGTGTGCGTGCGTGTGTGTGTGCGTGCGTGCGTTGTCGTCCGGAGGTATGTGTGTTTGTTTGTGTGTGCGCACGCTCGTTGTCGTCTGGAGGTGTGTGTGTGATTTTGTGTGTGTGTGCGCCCGCGCAAAGACGAGGGCAATATGTGTGTCTGTGAAAAGAGCAGAGTGAGACAAGCTAGGAGATCTCCTCAACTGTTTTTGGAGTTTTTGCTCAATAAAATAGTCAGTCGTCTGTATTTTCAAGTCCATGGTCTGTATTTACATTGACCCACTGGCAGCTAAAATCCACGCCTACACTATCGAGCGTGTATGAACTGTGATTACTTTTATATTGCTGATTAGCTGTTGGGCATTTCACTCTCTGACTGAAGGCAGTCGACCAATCGCAGCAGACTGTCATCGGTCCAATCAGCGCAGATTAGCTTCGCGCTAAGGAGGGGTTTGGGAACAAATGAATCACTGGACGATTCATACGGGAGTCGCTGGGATAATTAGGTAAAAATAAATGCAGATTATAAGACCATGAAAGTGTTTTTTGACCCTGCATGCATATTAAACTGTTGTTGGAGACCCTTACAACCAAAATATGACCCTATTTCATGTATAATATGGGCTCTTTAAAATCCTTTACAAATCTTTGCAAAACACACACAGCAGGAAACGTAAGTATTAAACACGTCACCGTTTTTCTCAAAATAACTTATTTCTAAAGGAGCAGTTGACTTAAAATGTTCACCAAATGTTGATAGCAAGCAAATAAATCCATATATGCAAAGAAAACTAAACTAAATACTTTACAAATGAAGTTATGTGTAATAAAATTATTCTTTTCATGTTCACAATCACAGATATTTCAAGTAAGAATTGGTAAAACGTGATGACGTCAGTAATATGCAAATTAACGTATGATGTAACCTAGCGACTTTTAGGGCAGAGCTTAGCACCTTTTCGTTGAAATTAGTTGGCAATAGTGACGGCAGCATTGCTACAACCTTCTCACATCTTTAAATTTCTACGTTTGTTTGTTTATTTATTGATAATCCAATAAAAAAGTAAATATCTTCAGCGTACTTCTACTCACACTATTTGACAAGTAACAATGTATAACTGTGGACAATTTTTATATTAAAATCCTTTACAAATTTTGAAAACCCATTTCTAAATGTGCTGTTGACTTAAAATGTTCACCATATGTTGATAGCAAGCAAATAAATCCATATATGCAAAGAAAACTAAACTAAATACTTTACAAATTAAGTTATGTGTAATAAAATTATTCTTTTCATGTTCACAATCACAGATATTTCAAGTAAGAATTTCAGAACTTGTCTAAGTTTATTACGCCTGAGAGATTACTGCAAATTCACTACACATCTATAAGTGAAGTTTCATAAACTAATTTCGAGAGGAGCACGTGATATGATTGTGCACCGCTGGCCACTCATCCGTTATCAGTAATAATCCAATCAGAGTGATCCTAGCTTAATATAAACAGATCTCTTTCTCCTTATTGCTCTATCTTCGTTTTGGAAGAATCCCCCCTTCCACCCCATCTCCTCCTTTTTCTCCCCTTTCTAAAGTGGGAGCTATCGAGACCTACCTGATCTCGGATCCCCTCATATGCTTATTGTCCGGGCGGGAGCCCTGGGCTCAAATATCTCCGAGCTCAGGGTTCTCTCCCGGGACAGCATGCCAAACCTACTATAAATGCCAAGCATATCTAAGTGGGAACTCTTGAATGATATACTGTATTCAAACAGCAATACATTTAGTTAAATTGACATGCTTGCATAAAGTGTAATGCAAATATAAATACCATAGGCTGTTAAATAAACAAATGGTAAAACGTGATGACGTCAGTAATATGCAAATTAACGTATGATGTAACCTAGCGGCTTTTAGGGCAGAGCTTAGCACCTTTTCGTTGAAATTAGTTGGCAATAGTGACGGCAGCGTTGCTACAACCTTCTCACATCTTTAAATTTCTACGTCGTAACAATGTAGCGAGCATGTAAGAGGCAACGTTACTATTTGAAAAAATGCAACGTTTGTACAGACATCGCTACAACGTAAATGTGTTTGTGGGAATATAATAGATAATTTATGTTTATAGCCAGAAGCGTCTCTTCCAGAATAAGCAATAGAGTCATGATTGAACATGAAAACTAGCTTGTGATAAGTAGCGTTTCTTCAGTAGCAACATGAAAACAAGTCTGTAAAAACCTTCCAAATATTTACCGAATGTCTGACACTATGAACTTCAGCTCTACAGCCCTGGAGCGGCTCTGTGTTTTCTGACCTTTGTCTTTTTCTGTCGGTGTAATTGTGCTCGTCAAACGTTTACGCTGACAGTCGGAGATTTACACACTCTTACCTTTTCTACCGAGAGCCCAGGGTCTGGATGGAGAGTCCGACATGCCCAGGCAAGTGTCTACCGGCATGGACACGGGACGAGGCTTTCCTAAAGCACCGGCACAAAAAGAAAGAGTCAGTCTAATTGAGTCCTGGCATGATCCCTGCTGGCTGACATTCATTTGAAGAGTTTGAATGAAAAGGAAGCTTTTGTTGGCATTGTGCATGAATGCCACAATTAAATGAGTCCTGACAGCCTATTTCTTTAACTGAACCACGTGTAATGATAGTCATTTCATTTCTGGAAGCAACTGACTTCATTTGGAGATTGAATGAATGTTGAGTGAGTGAGTCGCGTTGATTCACTGGAGGATTAGTCAGAACTGTTTATTAATTAAACTGTCTCCTGATTCATGAACTTAGTTGAACTGATATAATTTGAACTTATATATTTTGAGTTGGACTAAACTTGCCATCTTGTATTTTTTGCTTTGCATGCAGCAACTAGCAGTTTATTTAAAACACGTCTTGTCTGTATTGTATATGTTTGTTTACATCTGTATTGTGGTTTGCTTCAAGTTTATGATAATATAAGTAATGACTGATTTTGAGGGTCATTTTGATCCAGTTAAAAGACTCTGAAAAACATTCACCGTAGGATTCGGCAGACTGATTCAATCTGGTAACTTGTGATTTTTTGAATCTTTAAAAAAAAAAACTTCAGTGAGGAATTCATCAGGTTGATTGAAATCTTCAACTTACGATTTTGTGTCTTTTTTTAACCATTAAAAATATTGTCAGATAAAGACTCATGTTTTATGAGTGTTTTTGAGCCATTAAAAAATATATACTCACTAAACTGATTCAAACTGATTTTGTGAGTCTTTTTGAATCATTTTACAAGGCCCAGAAGTCACTCAATCAACCCGTCAGACCATTTCAGATGATTTTGTGAGCAAAAATCAGTATGTACAATAAAGACTCAACCAGTCATTCAGCACAGGATTTGTTAAATTGATTCAAATTGGAAACTTGTGAGTCTTTTTGAATCATTTAAAAAATATACTCAATAAAAGATTCATCAGACTGATTCGAATCAGTAACTTATGATTTTGTGAATCCTTTTAATTTATATTAAGACCTAGAAAATCATTTAATGAGGAACTAGTCAGACTAATTCAGATCAGTTAAGTATGAATTTGTGAGTGTGTTCCATTAAATTAAAAAGACTCACAAAATCATGAGTCTTTAGTAAAAAAAAAAAGACTCAGAAGTTTACTCATTGTGCAGTTCTTCAGAAGCTTTCAAACCAGTAACTTAGGATTTTTCAATTTAGAATTTTCAAATCAGTAACTCGGGATTTTGTGAATCTTTTTGAACCATGACAATTTGTAGTCAATAAAAGATTCATCAGACTGATTCAAATCAGAAACTCGTGATTTTGTGAATCTTTTTGAACCATTACAATATGTACTCAATAAAAGATTCATCAGACTGATTCAAATCAGTAACTCGTGATTTTGTGAATCTTTTTGAACCATTACAATTTGTACTCAATAAAAGATTCATCAGACTGATTCAAATCAGAAACTCGTGATTTTGTGAATCTTTTTGAACCATTCCAATATGTACTCAATAAAAGATTCATCAGACTGATTCAAATCAGAAACTTGTGATTTTGTGAATCTTTTTGAACCATTCCAATATGTACTCAATAAAAGATTCATCAGACTGATTCAAATCAGAAACTTGTGATTTTGTGAATCTTTTTGAACCATTACAATATGTACTCAATAAAAGATTCATCAGACTGATTCAAATCAGAAACTTGTGATTTTGTGAATCTTTTTGAACCATTACAATTTGTAGTCAATAAAAGATTCATCAGACTGATTCAAATCAGTAACTCGTGATTTTGTGAATCTTTTTGAATCGTAGAAAAAGACTCAGCAATTCAGCCAGTGTGCAGTTCTTCAGACTGATTCATACCAGTAACTTAGATTATTGTGAGTCTTTTTGAACCATTGAAAAATACACTTACTATGGGATTCAATAGACTGATTCAAACCAGTAATACATGATTTTGTGATTCTTTTTTAATTATTTCAAAAGGCCCAGAAAATCACTCAATGAGGGACCTGTCAAAACCGTACAGCATGGATTGTGAGTCCGTTAAAAAACAACAACACACACATTCAATGAGGAATTCAGCTGGCTAACTGAAATCTTCAGCTTATGAAGCTTATTGCAATATGTAGTCAATAAAATACTCATCAGACTGATTCAAATCAGTAACTGGTAATTTTGTGAATCTTTTTGAACCATTACAATATGTACTCAATAAAAGATTCATCAGACTGATTCAAATCACTAACTCATTATTTTGTGAGTTTTTTTAATCATTTAAAAATATACTCAATAAAAGATTCATCAGACTGATTCAAATCAGTAACTCGTGATTTTATGAATCTTTTTGAAAAATTGAAAAAGACTCAGTGATTCAGTCAGCCTGCAGTTCTTCCGACTGATTCAAACCAGTAACTTAGGATTTGTGAGTCGTTTTGAACCATTAAACATATACTGTTACTTAATAAAAGATTCATCAGACTGATTCAAATCGGTAACATGATTTTGTGAGTCTTTTCAAACAATTTTAAAAAGCCCAGAAAATCACTCAATGAGAAACCTGTCAGACCAGCTCAGACCAGTAAAGCATGAATTGTGAGACCTTCTAGTCTTTTTAGGCTACTTGGGTGAATTGCAAAAACAGAAAGTGTTAAGCAGGTACTAACCTCTTGATGGGGTTCGCTGTCTCATTCGTGCTTGTGGGACGGCGGCTTCAGCTGGCTGTACTGTAGGTTTATTGTTGTAGTCGCTGATATTTGAGCGCCGTCTATTAGCTAAATCTAGAGATGAGTTTGGAGATTCTGAACCTTTCGGTCTCATCTTCACTCCTGCATATTCACTCTTCTCTGCATCTCTGTAGAGAAATACAGAAGCATTAAAACTTTATGAGACCAAGAAAGCCTTAAAGCTGTACAGGAAAAAAATGATTATATGGTGGTGCATGAAGTATATTAAGTCTAAAATAATAAAATAAAATAAAATAAATGGTGGAGCATGAAATAAAAATGAAATGAAATAAAATAAAATAAAGTAAAATAAAAAAAAATTGTGGAGCATAAAGTATAAAAAATAAATAAATAAAATCAATAATGGAGCATGAGATATAGAAAATAAAAAAAAATTAATTAATTAAAAATAAAATTGTGGAGCATGAAGTATAAAAATCAAATAAAACAGAAATAAATAAAAATAAAATAATTGGTGCAACATGAAATATAAAATAAGATAAAAATAAATAAATAATAAATAAAAAAAAACAAAAATAAAACAGTGGTGCACGAAGTATACAAATCAAATAAATAATAAACAAAATAAAATAAACGGTGGAGCATGAAATATAAAATAAAAATAGCATAAAATATAACAAAATAACAAAATAAATAAAATAAATATAAAAATAAATAAAAAGAATAAAAAAATGGTGGAACATGAAATTAAAATTTTTATTTAATTACATTAAATTGTGGAGCCTGAAAGATAAAATAAATTTAAAAAATTAAATTAAATAAAACTGTGAAGCATGTAGTATAAAATAAAATAAAATAAAATAAATGGTGGAACATAAAAAATAATAAAATAGCACAAAGTATAAAATAACAAAATAAATAAAATAAATCTAAAAATATTAAAATAGATATTAAAAAATTAAATGGTGGAGCATGAAATAAAAACATTCAATTGACTTGTTGAGCATAAAGTATATATATATATTTTAAATAAATGGTGGATCATAAAAAAAATAATAATAAAATAAAACTGTGGAGCATGAAGTATATAATAAATTAAAAATAAATATTAAAAAAACAAATAAATGGTGGAGCATGAAATGTAAAATAAAATAGCATGAGGGATAAAATAACAAAATAAAAAATAAAAAATAAGATGTTGGACCATAATTTGAAAAAAATAAATAAAAAAAATAAAATAAAATAAGATGCAAAAGCATGATTTAAAAATAATAAAATAAAAATTATAATTTTGAAGAATATAATATAAAAAATGTTATTATTAAAATTGTGGAGCATGTAAAATAAAATAATAAATGTAGCAATGAAGCTTTCTAAAAAAAAATCTGAATTCTTGTACTCCATTAACACCTATCGTGTTTATGCTTAAAATAACGCACAAATCTCAAATGTTCGCAAATTAATTCAATATAATGGTGATACATTATCAGAGAAACAGATTACTGACCGTGGGCTATAGGGCACTGAAGGAGGAGGAGGAATATACAGATCTAAAATGGCAGGTTTCTCCGGCCGCCTGATAGACATTTGCACAGGATGTCTGGATGACTGGGTGGCAGGCACAAACGATGGGCTCTGAAACAAACACAGTTATTAATCCCTCGTTTCACCCCATTTAACCCATATTTACACATGATAGCTGCGAGGAAACCCTTGCTAAATTACACCTTGCACAATCTATTCAATGAGATTAGTCGGATCGCAGAGCTTATCATTTGAATCCACAGACCTTTGATCTCCACATTAAATTAGTACAATGAGACGCTTTGTTGGGTTCTTTTTCTCAATCTCAAGCTCCTGCTTTGTTTTTGTAAGACGTGCAAGGTTTTGTTGGAAGTAGACTTTCTTTAGGCCTTTAATCATATATTTTGCTAGGGCAGGAATGGATTTAGATCCAGATTATTCCCAGAGTACTGTTCTCCTTTTGTAAAAAAAATGTGTTTTTACACTGTAAGTTCCTCTTTGGATTATGTCAATTGCATAAACAGATATTCAGAAGAACATTTATTTGCAAACACGGCTCTCATTCATTGAGGGTGCATTATGCAAAGTGGAATTATCAATTGCATATTCATGGGAACGTCCAAAAAAATACAAAGAAGTCACAATTAAAGATTTTTATTTTACACCAAAAATCAATAGCAGGTCCCACTTTATATTAAGTGTCCCTAACTACTATGTACTTACATCAAAACAATAAATACAATGTACTTACTGTGTTTATAATGTATTTGAGAACACTTGTGGTGCTTTTAAGTTGGGATAGAGGTTGGGTTATGGACAGGTTTGGTGGTATGGGTAGATTTAAGGGTGGGTTAAGGTGTAAGGGATGGTCAACAGTGTATTTACAAATGTAATTACAAAAGTTAATTACAGATGTAATTACATACGTGTATTTAATCAAGCTTAAGTACACAGTAAACACATGTATTTACACAATAAGTACATTGTAACAAACTATTAATTCCTGTGTAAGTACATATTAGTTAAGACCACTTAATATAAAGTGGGACCCAATAGCATATTAAGCAAAGATTGTTTGCCATGAAGTTCCTTCTGTAAATTAAATCAAATTTTTTATTAGTAATATTTAGGGATGTAACAGTATCAGAATTTCACGGTACGATCATACCTCGGTATGAATGGCACGGTACGGTATTCATTGAATAATTTACAGGAAAAACAAAACTAATGAAAAGACTCGAAAAAAGTGCCAAAAGTGCTTATTTACCTTAGCACTGAACATATCAATGATATACAAATTAGCCATCTATCTGCAAGTTTCGAAACAGGAACTTCAATTTTTCAATTTTAATAACAAAAAACTATTAAACCATATTAAAAAATAAAGTTTCAATTTAGTATTGTTGAAAATTCATCACATTCAACAATTAATCACTCACTCACTTAGATAGAGATGGTTTTTTTTAAGGAAAATTATCATATAACTATAATCTGGTAAAAGCTGGGATCTCTGGGCATTTACAATGTCCCCTGCAACAGAAAAAAACCCTCTCATTTGGGACTGAGGTTTCTGGGACAGAGAGATATGATTTAGCCAAGGTTGACAGCAGTGGGTAACGCTGTGCATTGTCTTTCCACCACTTGAGAGGACAAGCCATGAGTGAGATAGAGGTCTCTTTGCGGTACAAGTCAATGTCTGCATCAATCTAAAGCCTGATTTATACTTCTGCATTAAGTGACCGGCGTAACCCACGGCGCATGCAACGCGCGTAGCTGTGCATTTATACTTCTGCGCGCTGTCTCTGTTGGTCTGCATTAACACTTCCGAAACGCTAGTTGGCAGTGAGGTGTTAATGTTCCTCTGTGTCGAGTTTCTTCTCTGCTTTTTTGCTTTTCCTGAACACTTCCGGGATGTACAAGTGGCTCAAACTCGCTCATTTTGAGGCAGGAACCGGCGGACGTGCAGCAACTTTAACTATGAGGTAGACACAAAACAAAACTTTCCATCCAGAGCTCCTTCACGGGACTCCACACTTGTAAACAATCGCTCGCGCCATTCGCGCGGCTCTCGGTCTCGCCCAGACTCGTCAGCGCTACCAAGCCGACCAATCACAGAGCTTACGCTACGCGTCGTTGCGACGTGTAGTTACATTTTTTGAGAGGTGCACGTCAGTGACGGCGATGGCCAAGGCGAAGGGCTATGCATCAGCATACGTTTAACGCAGAAGTATAAATCAGCCTTTAGGAGAACAATCTCTCTGGACAATAGACCCACCAAAGTCACATGGAATGTTTTGATAATGTTTTTGGCTCCTTTTTTGAAAAGTCTCAGGACCATAGCTGTCTATGGAGGATGAGAGAGCTCCAGGATTTCATCTAAAATATCGTCATTTGTGTTCCAAAAATGAACAAAGGTCTCAGGGGTTTGGAAAAAACATGACGGCGAGTAATTAATAACAGAATTTTCATTTTTTAAGTAAACTAACCCTTTAGAGTCAGGTAAAAATTAATTTACTACTACTTAAACTACTACTTAAAACAATCGGTTAATTCTGTATGGGTAACTTTTACAATCATAAGTAAGTTTTCGCACAGTGAAAAGTGTGTTTCTTGAGCGGCGGTTTACAGTCTGACCTTTAAAAGAATGAAAGAAAGAAAGGCGTTTTAGGAGAGTCTAATATTAGCTCCAGCGTTTCTACAATCAATGGCAGTGTGACATTTGGACCGGGAGTTTAATCAGGTAAAAAACACACATCCTGACGTGAAGCCCTGCAGTCCTCACTGCTGTTAATCAACAAGAATGTGTGACACCGACATGCGCTTTCAGAGGCAAGTCAACGTGCGTGTGTGGAGGGGAAGAACTGTTTCATTGTTTTACTTCTGCAACACCCATACAAACACATCTACATTGCGTTCAAACAATGAGAGTTCATGGAGTTTGTGAAACACAGAAACACTAATGTAGTAAAATAGAAGCACAATCGATATTTGTCCACGACTATATATATATAACAATCTATAAATAGCAAACAGGACTTCTGCAGGATTCACCAAGTCAAAATGAAGACTTTTTAAGACCATTATGACTGAAATTTCAGACTTATACAGGACTAAACCTGAAGAATTTTTACCGAGTTGTGTACATACGCTTTATATATAAACATAAATATTAAGGGCTTGACGTTAACACCACCAACCTGCCAAATGCAGGTAGATTTCAGCTGTGTCGGGTTAGACAGCCGTTCCACTAGCCACCTTGGCTGGTTGAAGATAATTTTAAAATTGTAGTTTTATTAAAAGCATGGTTCAACAATAAGCATAGCCCAATATTCGTGCAAATGTGATCTTAGAATCGAAAAGCAGCAAGACTGACATAAATAACTGTGTCTGTGCAAGCAAAATAAAAGCAGGTGAATACCGTATGAGAGGATGAACACTCGCACGCTTGGGTGATGTGATGTGCATGACTGTTAAAAAGCGCGTACGCTCCTGTTTACTTGCGCTAGGCAATCGTGCCTAGAGGAAATGCAACTGGTGCGATCGGTTCTTTTTTAAATAGACTGGACAAACAGTGCACCCAAAGTCTTTATAATTCTGTTATTTTATAATTGTTTTAATTAATTTAAATATATATATATATATATAATATATATAATAGTAATTTATTAATTTATTTGTTTGTTTATAATTTCGTTATTTATGTATTTGTTTGTTTATAATTCTGTTATTTATTTATCTATTTATTTATTATTTTTTACTTTGATTTTATTATTTATTTATTTGCTTGTTTTTATTTATCTTTTTGTTAATCTTTTTAATTAATTAATTAATTATTTATTTGTTTGTTTGTTTATAGTTCTGTTATTTATTTGTTTATAATACTGTTATTTTTTTGTTTGTTTGTGTATAATTCTGTTATTTATTTATTTTTTTACTTTTATTTTATTATTTATATATTTGCTTATTTTTATTTATCTATTTGTTAATCTTTTTAATTAATTAATTTATTACTTATTTGTTTGTTTGTTTGTTCATAGTTCTGTTATTCATTTGTTTATAATACTGTTATTTATTTGTTTGTTTGTTTAAATTTTTTTTTTCACTTTTATTTTATTATTTACTTATTTTTATTTATCTATTTGTTTGTCTTTTTAATATTTTTTTATTTCCTTGTTTATTTGTTTATTTATTTATAATTCTGTTATTTTTTTACTTTTTATTACTCATTATAGCAGTGTTTCCCAACCATGTTCCTTTAGGCACACCAACAGTACTTACTTTTGATGTCTTCTTTATCTGACCCATTAACTTCAGGAGTTGGAGTCTTTTCTAATGTTCTGATAAGTTGATTCAGATGTCTTTGATTCGAGAAGAGGTTGAAAATGTGTACTGTTGATGTGGCTTTAGAAACAGGGTTGGGAAACAATGAATTATAGTAACGTAAAAGTCACTTTTATTCAATTTGATGTGTCGTTGCTGAATAAAATGAATTATTATTTTCATGAAAGTTTTGATGGTTGTGTGCATTAATCTGCCAAAAACAATACTTTAAAATAACTATTTTAAGTTTCAATATATTTTAAAATGTATTTTTATATTTTTATTTTCCCTGATGGCATGTAATGCTTCATTTTCAGCATCAGATTTCGACAATTAATGGAAAAAGTATTGCATTTTTATTATTTCTTTTTATAATAATGTATTTTGCTCAAATAAATGCATCTTTGCTGAATAAAATTTAAAAAATCTAATATTTATCAGTTAAAAACAAAACAAATAGACGTATACTGCATGTCATTTCATTTTAAGGTGAAGTGTGTACTTTATACATGACTAAAACATATAGTTATGGGGATGGAAAATACTTTTTTCCAGCCATTCAAATCACTAAAAGTGGGCAATAGTAAGTCTAAAACTGTGCAGAAAGGCAGACTTTTCTACAAACCTGATGTCAATAGCATATTAAGTACAACCCTGAATCTAAACAGACGTAAAGAACAGTACCTGGATGACGGGGGGTCTCCAGCGCATGTTCTTCAGTGGTGCAGGAGTGAAGCTGCAGGTTCCCGACGGTCTTTTCTTCACCATCAGGGTCACATTTTGAGGGTCTT